ACAAAAGATTTTTAAAATGACCTAAAATGACAGAAATATGAGATTAGTGCATGAGATGCAACTGAGGAACACATCCAAAGAGCCCACAGCCATTTCATTCTGTTTGTGAGGCAGTACTTAAAGGGATAGTTCACCCAAAAAGGAATCTTACTCATTATCTACTCACCACTATGCCGATGGAGCAGTGGGTGAAGTGTTTGAGTCCACAAAACACTTTTTGAGTTTCAGAGGTAAACAGTGTTGCAGCCAAATCCAATACGATCGAAGTAACTGGGGACTCCTTCAAACGTAAAACAACAACAGAAGAAAACATAAAATGCCTCCATACTGCTCCTGTGGTGTCATCCAAGTGTCCGTAAACCCGACATTCAAATTCGACTGTTCTGTTAATGCTTGTAAAAAGCACAGGACGAATGAAATGTCGTGGATCTTCCTCTCCACATGATGTAAATATCAAGGACAGTGATGAGTGAAGTCACCGTCTAACCATGTTGACCATCGTTAAGTTTATTAGTACGTTAACATTTGCTAATTAGGGCTGAACGAATGACCAAATACAGCTGAGGCTGACGGGAATTGCCGAAGGCTAAAATACTTGAACGAATGTTCTTCCCCTCTGTGTGCAAAAGGAAAACCTCATTATCAGGGTTCTGCTGAGGTAAAACTGTCCATACCACAAAATAGCTGGGAATCTGTGGACAGATTCATGGCACCACCTCTTACAAACAGTTTAATGATGTGGGGAGTTGAGTAATATGAAATGTCCTTCTACAGCAAGACATGGTACGATCCAAGTCCTGCAGGAGGACCCCCGCAGTAACTGGAATTTTATTTGTGTTGGCCTCGGGCTGCTGCTGGCACTGCTGCTAACCTGGCACTGTCATTCAATGGCAATGAATAACAAAGTTATTGCTCAAGCATTGGTTTTTAGTGATTGCGTCCAAAATGTAAAAGTGTGTATGAACTATGATACAGCTTAGAAAGGAGTTAAGGAGTTACGAGAGCTTAGAATAGGGTGAATTCAGATCATCTTTTTTATTTTTTTATTTTGACTTCTGCGACTAATTCTTATATCCGTTTTATATATGAGATCAACATATTATACCTTTCTGCAATCCTTATGATGTTTTCTAACCACACAAGAAAGAATGGAGATCACATACTCAGAGGAGACATGACACAGCTATTTGTGTTCTTTGTGCCAAAAAACACATTTTTGGCTGAATTTGATAATCTAGGATGCTTGTTTTAGGCTTTTAAAAAGAAGCATAAATCACCTTTCTTTATGAATGCCAAGCTCAATATTACCAATTTAATTATTCATATTAACATAAAAGTCATATTCTTTTCATTAAGAACCCTATCTTAATCTATAAAATTCATTAAAAACATTCTATTAAAGGTGTATCCGTTTCTTTTTTAATAAATTAAAATCCAATCAACAGCAAGCAACAATAACAGATTATTCATTAATAATTGTAATTTTTTCTATCAGGGCTACTCAGGGGACAAACAGTTGGGGAAACCGATGGCTGCAGATCACAGGATAGACTCTTCTGTGCTTTTTGGGTCATCTCTGTCCTAGAGAGGTAACTGAGTATGTGCTAGTTAACTAACCAGACAGTCAAATAAAACAGACAGGGACAGACCGCAGATAATATCTTATTTATTTCAGGAAGTCTCTAAATTCATATTTCCCCTATTTAGAGAACTCCAGTGACTGTCCCAGATTAGCCAAAGCATGCTGTCCCACATTATCAATCAGATTTAATAAAGTGGGACAGCTTGAATACATCACAAACATTATTTGATAACAATAAGGATAATTAATTATAATAATTAAGATAATTTTTACTTTACCATCACTTTACTAATTAACCATTTTGTTGTCTTTTATTTCTTATGATTTTTAAATTTGTTTTCATAGCCTTTAAAATCTATTTAATGGTATCTCATTGTCAGCTTTTTTATTTGCTATGTCTGATTCTTGGCTCATCAGTCAATTGTGATGCACTTTGATCTGGACTAACCTGTGTGAGAGGTGATCAACTTTGATTTAAAGGATGATTGATTTATTCATTTATTGAATGATTGATCAGCCTTTTAGACAGCCAGAGGTACATTTAGTAAGTCTTTGGTATCTCAACCTCACAGACAAGATTTAGCCAACTTTATCGGGTTCAGTTTTCCAAAGCTGAAAGTGGTGATCTGATGCATTTAAGTGGCTGTTGAGAGAAACTCGATTCCTGGTCTATGGACATGCGAGTGGTCTGGATTGGTCATTCAGTGCCTCTGAGAGCGTGAAAGTGTGACGCTAATACATGAATTCACTGCTCTCCTTGCTTCTCTGTGGCCATGTGTTGACGGATCAAACTGGCTAAAGTTCTGAAAGTTTGAGCTGTCTGTTTTGCCAGAACATCTACACCCTTTGTCTATGGCTGACAGCCTGGAGGTTCAATTGCAATTTTGCACATTGAGGATTTTCTCTGCAGAGGTGTTGTACCTTCTAGTTCACTGTCGCTCCACACTGAGAGCCACACAGCATCTGTGCCTCTCTAATCACACATTTATGGTCTCTGGGTGTCTGAGTAATTTCCAATAGAAAGTAATTATTGTAGAGAATCTGAATTTTACAGCTTGGAAGGTCATGCACAGGATACAGATGCCCGTCATGGTGCTGAAATTTTAAGAAGAGCAAGTGGCACGGCTGAAAATACGAATGTCACGGTGCCCAGTTGGCAGGGGTATTTCCTGAGGGACAGGAGTGTCCTCTCTGGAAAGCTGGAACGAGCGAGTGAGAACTTATTAGCTCAACTGACATGTGGAAAAGTATAACACACCAAAGCTCATATAACCGGATGGGTACAAATCTGTGTTTTCTCTAGGCATAACCGTTGGCATACAAAAGTGTCTTCAAACTGAAGGGATTTAATGCTGCTTCAATACATATCTACTGAAAACCTTCGAGGCAAGCACAAGGCCAAATGACACAGTCATGCATTTGTAGGTCATGAAAAGAGAAGACATCACGCTGTAGAAATTTCCTATGGGCTTATTTTGGAAAACACAGGTCCAAGTTGGCATGGATAGCCCCTCATCCACTATTAATCGTTGTGTCCAGCACCCAGGGATGAAATGTGCATGCACACCACTGCTCTAAGCCGCAGAGTGGAGGGACCATCTGAGCTGTGAGCTTTTGTACCTGAAGGACGTTTACTGCCCTCTACTGGTGTAGGAAGATGCTAGAGCATGGATGTAGCTTTATTATTCCAACAACAGCAGTGATAGATTTTTCCATCATGCAGTACTAGGTCGGTTATGGACAACTTTTCAAATCCCCCTAGTGCTTCCAAGTGGTATTACTATTGGTGCAACTGTCTTTGTGCTGTGATGAGGTTTAGTAAAACCAGAAGCTTTAATAAATAGACGTTACCCAGGTGCTGTAGTCGTGATCGTGTAGAGAGAGAATTACACTCAGTTGAGCTATACCTCCTCCAAGGTCAAACAGTTCTACACATCTTTGTCTGGCTCCTAGCTCTGGCTTGATTAATCAAGAATTGAGCAAATTCAAACATCTCAAAACCACAAAACATGTCTGATTTCATACTTATGTATGTTATTTTATGGTTGGCTGTTGAAACGTAAAGAGGGAACTGCAGAGACAATTCTTTTTTAGCCAGAACTAGTCTCTGTGAATGATCCCTGAAGGGAGTGCAGTATATTGCAGGATTTATGGGTATTTCTGAAACCCTACAAACAGCGGATGTTTTCTGTTATTATTATTATAGTGCAATCCCCTCTAGAGATGAGGTACACACTGAAATAGCAATTTGATGCTTGGCTGATAAATTAGCCGAGGGTGAGTTTGAAATCCAAGCAGAGATTTAGATGTTTCAGCAAATTCAGAGCTGCAGCGATGTTGACACATTTGGCTATAGCAATTTCTCAGTATTATTTGATAGTCTTTAATATTGATACTTTATATACTGTATCTATGATCAAGAGATAGAATAGCTCACACTTAAAACATTTTTCTATGGGAAAGCCATTTTTTTCAAATATAAATATGTCTTGTTCTGTGTTTTTTTTTATTTTTTATTTTATAAAGCAATTTGCAACCTTTTTTAGATAAGTGCTAAAGAAATAAAATTGTATCATATTAGCATCATTAATATTAATTTATTCTTCAAGCAATTTATTTATCTTCTATTGTCTGAAAACTTTGTTTATAGGTTGTGAGAGTGAATTGACTTGCTTTGTTTCTTGCAATTGTTTTTTTTAAATGTGTGTTGTACAGAAATGCGATAAAACCCATGGAATTTACACTTTCTGCAAATAGATCAATTAAAGCAGATACTTTATTTTTAAAACTCAGCTTTTAAACAATTATGATATTTTTGATTGGTTGATTGATTTAGTCCATCTGATTCCAGCCATGTAAACTCTCAGTTAGATAGCTGCAATGCAAACAGACTTTTAAGGCCAATAACAATCCCTATATCCTTTGTCTTGTAGATTTCCCACAAATTAGAATAAGCTGTCGTATTTTCTTATTCATGACTTCATTGATACATTTCTCTCTGAATGAACAGTTTCAGCCCTATGAATAAATCAGCCCAGATGTAGTACAAGGAACCAAATTATGTGTTGACCTGGATTTTTAAAATGTCAGTCTCCATGTGGGTAAACTCACATGCTCTAAGTATATTAATGATTCTTTTATTAGATACAGTTGATAAAACTGCATGTGAATATAATAATTAAGACTGCATGTGAGTATATTAATGATTTTTTTTATTAGATACGGTTGACAAAACATTATTTTCACCTCACATAATGTGAGGACAAATGTGAGATACTCAACATGCTGAAAGGATGCCATCTAGTGGCAATGACAAATACTTTTTTAAAATTGTGCCTTTTTCTTTTTTTTCTTTTCAGAAGATCTTCATGAGGATGAGAAATCAAGAAAAATTTGTCATGGTTGGACGCCAATAAAACTCAACCATGGAAGGAGAAAATAAACTGAATTTCACTGCGAACAGCAGTACGACGGATATCCACCTGGTGACGCACAGTCTGTGGGAGGTGATCACCATTGCAACTGTGTCGGCTATAGTCAGCCTCATCACCATTGTGGGGAATGTTCTGGTCATGATCTCCTTTAAAGTCAACAGCCAGCTCAAGACTGTGAACAATTACTACCTGCTGAGTCTGGCAGCTGCAGACCTCATCATTGGTGTTTTCTCCATGAACCTGTATACCTCTTATATACTGATGGGCTACTGGGCCTTAGGAAACCTCGCCTGTGATCTGTGGTTGGCTGTGGACTATGTAGCCAGCAATGCATCAGTCATGAACTTGTTGGTGATCAGTTTTGACAGATATTTCTCCATCACCAGGCCTCTGACCTACAGGGCCAAACGGACGCCCAAGCGAGCTGGGATTATGATTGGTTTAGCCTGGCTGGTGTCGCTCATTCTGTGGGCTCCACCGATACTCTGCTGGCAGTACTTTATAGGGAAAAGGACCGTCCCTGAGAGGCAATGCCAGATCCAGTTTTTCTCTGAGCCTGTAATAACCTTCGGGACAGCAATCGCAGCCTTTTATATCCCCGTGTCAGTCATGACAATCCTGTACTGTCGAATCTACAAGGAGACAGAGAAGAGGACCAAAGATCTGGCTGAGCTTCAGGGGATTAACTATGCCACAGACTCTGGGGTCTCTCAGCCTCCAAAGACCATTATCAGGTCCTGCTTCAGTTATAAACTAAGATCGGCCTCGCACGACAGGAACCAAGCATCCTGGTCATCTTCCAGCAGGAGCAACGCTGCCAAATCTGCAGCCACCACCAATGATGAGTGGTCCAAAGCAGGTCACCTGACCACCTTTAACAGCTACGCATCCTCAGAGGATGAGGACAGGCCTGTTTCTCCAGGAGGCTTCCAGGCCTCGTTCAGGAACCAGGCTTGCGAGACCAGCAAGAGTGTTGTTGGCAGCGAGAGCGAGCAGCTCAGCAGCTATGACGAGGACAGCTTCTTCCAAACGCCACCGAAAAGCAACTCTCAGAAGAGCGGCAAGTGCGTGTCGTACAAGTTCAAACCTATGGCCAAAGACACTCAAGCGGAGCACCAGGTCAAGAACGGAGACACAAAGATGGCATCATCAACGTTTTCCTCAGCCGAGTCCATGAGCATCCCATCCACGTCCTCGACGTCCAAACCCATCGACGCCACCCTGAAGAACCAGATCACCAAGAGGAAGAGGATGGTGTTGATCAAGGAGAGGAAGGCAGCACAGACTCTCAGTGCCATCTTGCTGGCCTTCATTCTGACATGGACGCCATATAACATCATGGTGCTGATTTCCACCTTCTGCTCAGACTGTATCCCAGTCTCCCTCTGGCATCTTGGCTACTGGCTGTGCTACGTTAACAGCACCGTCAACCCCATGTGCTACGCCCTGTGTAACAAGAATTTTCAGAAGACCTTTCGCATGCTCTTACTCTGCCAGTGGAAGAAGAAAAGGATGGAGGAGAAACTTTACTGGTACGGACAGAACCCTGTGGTCAACTCCAAACTCACATGAACTATTGTTTTGTTTTTTTAAATAAACCAAGGCTGTAAATCATGTGTTTCTTCTGATAATCTTGGCTATATATACTTGAATTCTACATAGAAAAATATAGTATTATTAAGATGCTCGTAAAATTTGTAGAGTTGCCCATTAATTGATAGTGCAAGTTAATTACTGCTCAAAATATTAAAATGGAAGACCATAAAATTGTCTGAATAAACTAAAACTATAAATAATAATGTACATAGATTCCAAAATATTAAAAAACATTAGTATTTTCCCCTTAAATTGCTGATTATATGCAAAATGCCATCGATTAACACACAGATTATTTCATATTGTACTGTATTTGTATTCCAGATGCACTGCATGAGACCATAATAAAATTTGTCTAAGCTGACGATCTTCATTGGTTTAAAGCTGTTAAAATTACCAGTTTCCCTTCCAAAAGAACTTTACACACAAAATTTCAGATCAGTTTTAATATTGTAGGTCATGTGTTTTTTTTGAAGATGAACATTTCTGAGATGCTGTTTTATTTTAAAGGGCTAACACGTGTCGTCTTGATGTCGGAATCCGCTTGCAAAGTCAAGATTGTAACTTGATGATAACTGAAGCCTTTTCACACATGCCGTTATCATTTGTAAGATGTTCTGCAAAGATTTCAGCATAATTATTTCATAAATGAAAAATCACACCAACCCTTCAAAATAAAAGATCAATTTTACTCAAAACAACATGAGAAACATGCTAAACAATATCACATGTTTACATAGAGAACTGTCTGGAGGGTTTGAGAGCACACATAGTTTAATATAATCTGTTTATTACTTCATCCTCAGGATTTGTTTTTGTATTTCTCCTTTGAGTATTGAAATACAGTAATTGTTTTTTCTGACTTACTGTAACTAAATCAATTTGTCATCATATCTTTATTGTATTTCTGGCAAACTTGTAATGTACTGTGGCAAAAATGCTCTTTGTTTGTGAAATGTTTTTTTGTGGACAGTGAGAGGAAGACGATGCAAAATATGTTTTATAAGCTAAATGTCCCTTTTTTTCGTTACTGTGATGAAACAAAAATCTGCACTTGCAATTTGGGGAATGAAGGACATGCTTTGCTTAATGTACTGACGTGCTGGAAACATAGCTAGAGTTGAAACAGTGATGCATTTTTATACTGTGTTCCAAGCTTGTGATTCTTTTTTTGTTCTTATCAGTATTTTGCGATTATGTCCATGGATTTCTGAATAAAATGTGTTGAAGTCAATGTCCAGCATGAGAGAAAATTACTGATGTCACTCATCACGAAAAGAAAACCTTGAAAAAACAAAAAGTTTAACACTTAGTCTTTAATATTTATCACTTAGCTCTTAGTGTCAGACAGCTTAGAGCTCGTCCCTGTTGCAGTCTTTGCCGTGAATCAGTTTAACCGTGTCTGAGGGTCTCACCATCATCCAAGCATATTTGCACAGATGCTCCTTGTTGCAGTCCTTTTGCCAGTAGATAACATTCCTGCGGTTTAGATTGGCTCCGGCGCAGGCATCGTACCACCAGCCTCCTCCAGGAACCCCCTGAAACTCCAGCTTGGCACAGTTTTGGAAGTAGTTGTCGTTGTCTCTGTCTTTCGTGGTGAATTTCTGGTTGTCGTGCAGGTAGTTCTCAGTGTCCAGGGTCAAAGCGTCTACAGACGTGCCCTGGAACAACCCCAGCCTCAACCTGTACGCCAACGCTTCATGCTCCACTAGAAAGGGGTCATACTCCCCCAGCTTGGTGACAGCGTCCAGGCCCACTAGTTTTACTCCTAGTTTGTAACGTCCAGGGCCGCGTGTGAGCTGATGAAGGTATTCATTCCCAAGCCAGTGATCCCCAGACACACCCCCGAAGCCATGCTTGTACTCGACCCAGGTACGGTCAAAGTTCACGCTGCTGTTGACGGTGATGTGCTGCACGACAGTCCAACCTCCCTCCTGCATGGCACAGTAGGCCACAATGGGGGAGTCACCTGGTTGGATCAGGTAAACACCATCTGTGGCCTGGCCTGAAGAGATCATCAGCATTTCATGACAGTCTCTGGGCAACGCTGAAGGGCAAACACACACAACAGTCATGACTTTGAATAAGTACAGGGTGATTACTCACAGATTTCACCATCTGTGAACAGGTGGCGCTATAGACTCGGAGGACACATGTAGCTTTTCTACAAGTTTCCCATTTACCTTTTCAAGAATTATTAACATTTACATTTCTCTAAAATCTCAGCTTATTACTTCAAAATCACGTCAAACGCTACACTGTGATACACGGATAACCACATGCAGGAAGTTGACGTTATATTGAATGTAACAACAACACTGTTCCTCAAAGTCTTCCAGGAGAGTCCTTGATCAATTACTAAACTATTACAACTGTCTATCTCACTGAGGGACACAAATCACCTCACGGGACACAGTGAGTCACTGAGTGATTTGTATCTACTTTGGAATTTGACCCATGCCCACAGAAGAATACACACAGATAACATGAAATAAAGTTATTGCAGCATTTCAAAAGCCTCACATGGGAGTTTTATACAAAATAAATACTCTACTATCATCAGCTAGAGTTTGGAAAGTTCTCCTTAAAATTCTATGCATTTCATTTCATAACAACAACAACTAGATAGACAACAGAAAAGACAAGTCAAAATGAGAGCGATAGGCTACACTAACAAATGTACCTCTCATTTCACGGTTCCGCACCCTGTTCTGCTCCTCCAGGGGAAGCAGATGCAGGTTCTCAGCTTTGAGATGCTCCATGTCAACTCCAGTGACATTAAGCAGAAGCATCAGGGCTGTAGCTGCTGGCAACCAGCATATCCACCACCCCATCCTGCACTTTCCTCCATCAAACCACGAGAAGTCAGTTATTGTTACAGCGCTTCGCATTGAATTCAGTGATAACACACATTTAAGGCCTCTGGCAGTATACAGGTTACATGCTTACCTTCAGTAAAACGCCTTGTGTGAGGTGACAGAAATATGCTGTCACTGAATCTTCACACACTGTATTAGCCTCCTCTGACAGAATGACAAAGTAACAGAATGCAAACAAGGCTGTCGACTGCTGAGTTCAGATTCAGAGTTCAGTGAATTGCAGGTCTCTTCACACACAGCCTCCTCCTGCCCAGCCACAGCTGGACTTCAGCCTTGGGTTCACATCACAATGACAGACACCAATTCTCCACTTATCTGTGTCAAGTGAGATAAACCTGCATGAGATATGAGCTGTGTAGAAAACAAACCCATATTTCTGTCTCATTTAAATCACTTCAGTGAGGCTGAAGTCCAGCTGTGGGACTGAACTGAAGGGATTAACTGAAATCTGATACTGTGTTAAAACTTGAGGTAAAGAACAGTGTGTTAGAATACAATGTGTACTGTTGCGCAAAGGGTGTGTGTATTTTTTATTTATTAACAGACACATATCTGTACTTTTTCTTCCAACAAAAAAATCACAGTACCATCCACAAACTTGATCATTTCCACTTCAAACTGTATTCATCATCATCAGGCAAATTCAATTAGGTACACTCAAACAATCAATGACACAAATTTAGATTCTCATGGCCATCAAGCTACCACATTTCTGTGACATAACTTCATAATATGACACATCATTTTTGCTAAACACTAAAAATTCATATTGCACATCCTCAGTATTTAAACTTTTCAAGTTGCTTTGTAAACTAATAAATACACCAACCACACAGTACAGTACAATCCAAGGGCACAATCCAGGGCAACTCTTATCTTTTCAGTGAGTTTTTCATTTCTGCTTTATCTCTTATTATTAGGTTACTGTTACCATAGAAACCTCTGTTATCTGGCTCTTCATTGCTTTCAGGTAAGTTGAGACAGGTAAGAATCAATGACCTGAAAGGAAAAGATTACGTATGTATGTAAGACACACACGTTTGTACAGTTTAGTTTAAGGACACTCACAGTCAACAACGACAGTGGTTCATCCTGTATTCATAAATACAGCACTGACCTTTGCCTTTTCTCCTGCAGCTCCTGGAACAAATTTCAATGAAGGTTCCTCAAGCCATAACTCCAGTAACTGCTGATTAAAGACCTGGAAATTCCTATTACAAAAAAAAAGAAAGAAAGAAACTGATTAAAAAGTTTTCTACCAAACATTGTGACTAATATTGAACATAGTGTTAAATTCTGACTCTGGGTTTATATCATAGACTGTATATAAAGATGGATGACACGTCTCCTCACAGTATCCAGAAATGGAAGTAAAATATTCATGTCTTCGCAGTGGCAGTCAGGGGATGGAGCCGCAGTAGCCCACTCTCAGCTGTCAATCAAGGGGCTTCACCTCATTTTTATATCACCAAATAACTAACTTTAAAATCAAACACAGCAGGGTGATCCAGACACTTTGTCTTTACTTTTGGGCAGCAGTCACATCGTCCATCTTTATTTGCAGTCAATGTTTTATATACTGTATGTTATTTTTTCACATCTCATAAAACTCTTACTTCTCTAACTCAGCTTTCGATGATCCACTGTAGCCGCTTGCTCTTAATTGCTCCCGCCATTTTTTCAAAACTGAATGTATCCAGTTCAAACCTACTGTAAGATACCTGCAAGCATAAAAGACAAACGCCATTCATTTGCATTTCTGTAGTTACTGTACATCCTGTATGTTCACAGTTCTGTGAAATAAGAAAGGGATACTCACTCTTCATACGGCTTGGTGAGGACTTCCTTAACTAAAGGAAATAGGTCAACACAACAGCCAATGGTAATCCTCAGAGAGTCCTTGTCAATGCTGCAGGGAGATTTGGATTTAAATAAAAGCTGTATGAAGCGGTATAACTCAGGTTCCTGCCAAATACGATGCTTACCTTCTGCTTATCATCGGGAGAAAATCAACAAACACTCCAGTGTCCTGGATTCTGTACAAAGACAGTAATGCCACATTTTTGAAAGTTGAACATATTGTGTGTCAAATGTCTAAAGCCAAACACACACAACGTACCTCAGGAAGTATGTCAATAGCTCTCCAACATTTCTCTGCCACAATGTGAAAGCTACTTTCAATCTCAGATTTCTTCCAAAGAGCACGTCAGTCATCGCACTGTGATCCTTTGTGAGCTGAAAAATATGATTGGGTTCAGCTGGATAATACATGTTAGAAAAGCTCCAACATAAAGCACAGAAACAGTGTGAGGTAGAGTGTCTGACCTCAGAAAGTGCAGAGCAGTCTGTTTGCTCGGAACTAGTTCTACCAGTCTTGTGGTTATGGCTGACATTCAGTGGGAACTCCAGCGGGTCCATGTCAAATACTTCCTGTTGCATGTCTTGTAGACAGCTCGTCTCATTCTCTTTGTTTGCAGCATCGAAGGTTCTCCCAGACACGAGCTGCTTCCTCCGAGCCACCGTCAGGTGATGGGTCTTCCTCTTGCACGACACGACCCGCTTCACTCTACCTGGGTTGTTACCAGAGCGACTCGCTGAATACCTGTGTGAGGTCAAATGTTCAAACAGTCTAGGCAAAATGAGAACACATAATGCATATGCTGTAGAGACCACAAGGCAAGCACCGATTTACCTCTTTTTGTTGAATTCCTCATTCCTATCATAATCCACCTGCATAGAAAAAAATCATTTTACAAGGTGTTGCACTATAAAAAACGGTCATACAAGAAAGAGTATGTAATGAGTAACGCAGCTCACATCTTTGATGTTTCTCCCATGAGGGTAGGTCACTCTGTACTGCTCTGCATCATGATGGGAGGTATGTTCAAGACTTTGATAGTCTCCGTCCTCACTGTTAGAGTCCATTATATCTAAAGAGAGAGGCACTTTTGAATCAGTTACTGAGAAAAAAAATTACATTTAGTAGTATTATGTAGAAACAAGGCAGATGTGTGCTCTTTCTGAAACAGATCCACTCAAAGTTCAAACAGAAGACATCACAGAACAATAGATTTAATTGAGAAAACTGAAAATCTACTTTCCATCTGAGCACAACAGTCCCAAAGTTCTGAGATACCTACACGAAGCTGAGGAAATAATATATAACAATTTTGATGAATGCAATGTTACAAACGTGTTACAATAAAAAAAACTCAATTTCCCATAACCACTGGCGGCACTGTTGTTCTTCCACACGATGACGTCGTCAGGAAGTGCTCTGTGAGTTTGTGTTGTGAGTGTTTTTAATGTCATTAATGGAACGTGAAGTTGACCTGTTCGGCTCAGGAAGGATTTGTGCTCACGGAGAATATGAATCCATGTCTTTACAATGTAAGTGTCGTTTAAAGACAAATTAAAATGCGTCATATTTTACGTAACATCATAGTGAACGTAGACTCGGTAACCGAGAGGTTAATAAGAAGTTATTACGAGCTAACGGCTAACAGCTAACCTTAAAAAACAGCTGGAGCTACAAGCTCTGGTCTGAGAGGCAGTTACTGACAGAGTGTGTACAGCACACTCTGTCCACACGTGAAATGTGTTGTACTCACCTTGTTTTTCTTTCAGCTGGATAGATAGACACATAGATGATAGATAGAGAGATAGATAGAGAGATAGATAGAGAGATAGATAGATAGATAGATGGACAGATAGACAGATAGATAAGTTGAAAGCTAGATAGACAGACAGACAGACAGAGGAATAGATGATAGATGGATAGTTAGATAGACAGACAGACAGACAGATTGATAGATTGATGGGTAGTTATATAGATGGATAGATGATAGATAGAGAAACAGACAGATAGATAAATCGAAAGCTAGATAGACAGACAGACAGAGGAATAAATGATGGATGGATAGATAGATAGACAGACAGATAGTTAGATAGACAGACAGACAGATAGATAGATAGATAGACTGGCTCAGCCAACAGACACTTCCAACTGATACTGACTCATAATACCGCCCTTTATTAGAGAATAAAGCCTCCCATTCATTATGCAGCTCGTGCCATGTGCTCCCTCTAGTGACTGAGCTGCTAATGGTGCAGATTTCCTCATAAAAGAAGTGTCAGAGCAGTCAGCTGATCTCTCTCATGTCTCAGTTTGAAATCTTGCAGATATTTTTGCCTTCCTGCCCCTGACATTCTCTTTTTTTTTTTKTTTKTCCTGATCAATGAGGCATATCAGCTGTTTGCCTTGGCACCTTTATTGATTCATGGCCTGCAAGCTAATCTCCGTTGTACTTGAGCTCACTTTCACAGCCCTCCTCCCCCTGAACGCACACTGAACAACACCATCAGCTGCTTTTAGTCACACATCATCTCTTTCGTTGCTGTTCCCGCTGACACTGCTGTTTCGGGGTTTCTGCAGCTTCATCATCCAGGTTGGCTGCCCGTTGATTGATGTCGACCTCTCATCAAAAACCACAACACGACTTGTGTGTGTGTGTGTGTGTGACGCTGCCAGGGAGCACTGTGCAAACTCCCACTAAGTCATGTAAGTTGTTGGAAGCTTTATAAGACATATTATATGGATTAACTCTGTGTTATACTAGTGCTCATGGTGTCATGTGATTTTTGGAACGATTGCTTTGAAGGTCATGTGATTGTAGTGACCAAACAGTTTCATTTCTGGGAATGTGTTGTTGCTCTAACCAGCCGTGTCTCTCTGAAGCACAGTGTTAAAATGGAGCCTGTCCACGCTGCCTGTGCCTGGTTAAGCCTTGCACCCCTGTTGGTGCTTGGTCTTTCCCCCATTTGGACTCAGCCAGAGCAGGTGCATCTCTCCTATCCAGGTAAGTGTCTTAGCTGCTTCTATCAGCCTCATGTGTTTTCACTTAGGGATGCTATTTAGTCTGTATGAATACAAGCCAGTTCCCAGGTCATATGGATCACAGATTTGCAGATGTTTTGTACAAATCCCTCAATATTATGAAAATTCAGAGCTCTGGTATTTTTAGAAAGTTGAACTTGTTGCTGCACTGGAGCTGTGCCACATATGTTAGCTAAAAAAAATAAAAATTCCAAATCACTTACAGTTATCTTGTTATTAAAAAGACTGAGTTTAATGCAGCATGTAAATTAATGGCTGAAGTCTGTGATCATACTTTTAGGTCTGCTTTCCTGGTGAATAAAAAAGGGAACTTCTTTCTGTCACACATATTTAATGTTACAGTGTCTGCCCAAAGTTTCAAGTACAGGAAGGTATTTAAACCACTGATATATCATCTTGGGGGTAACAATACCTCAGATTAAATCCCAGACAGGTGTACAATATGGGCCCTTTAAAGAAATACCTGATTTTCAGGTGTCAGGCTGCTCTGAACACTGACTGCTCTCAGTTCCAGTGGGTTGTGTAAAAATTATTTCTATTTATTAAGTCAAACAGAGCAGAGTGGTGTACCATATTTTACCACTAGGGAGTGAAGTAACACTATGATCAGAGGGACAATTTACTGACACAACCATTCAACTATGTCAGCTTCAATTCTGAAATGTTTTCCTGTTAGCTCAGTCAATTTTCTTTGTGACTAAATCTGCCATGTCTCCTCTTGTTGTCACCTGAAACGTCACGATCTTTCTACTAAACAGACACAACATGCACATTTCTACTATTTGTCATCCTTTCTCCCGAAACATTTTACTCAGGCTTACAGAAAGTTAAGTTTACTTACTCTTACGTACTGCGGTAGTGACTATGTTTTTCTGATAATGGAAGGAGGTGGTTCTCACAAGCAAGAGAGAGTGGGCTGTGCTGATACTGTCTGTTTCAGTCAGAGACTCTGCTAAGGGGTTGCACAACTGGAAGTTTGACATAAATTATGATTTTTGTGAACCTGAACCATGCAACACTACTCCTGAACAAAAAATATAAAAATGTACAAAATATTCCACCTTTAAACTCTGTGAATCATCTCTGTAAATAATTTTATTGTAAGTTAAATGCACCCTATAACTGCCACACATAAAGCTAGGGTTACATGATTTATACAGTCAATGCTACAGAAATGCTTTTTGTTCAGTCCTTAAGAAGGTGAAACATGTGGTGTTCATTCAATGAATTGATGTCTTGATGAATTGAGTACCTGGCCAGTCGTCAGCTTAACTCAGCTGTGTGATGGGTGTATCTTGCCAGCGGCAAGATCAGAAGTGCCACTCTTATACAAAGTCAGCCTTTTCATAAGCATCTGTTGGCTTTGTATAAATGCAGCACTAAGTGAATCCAGTGTCTCTGTCAGATCAATCTACATCACATTTCTAATAGCTGGAAACTTTTTTCACAGGAGTGCCAGGCTCCATGGTTGTGACCTGGACCACCTTCAATAAAACAGAGAGCATGGTGGAGTACGGCCTTCTGGGGGGTCGGCTCTTTGAGATCAGCGTCAACGGTAACGCTACTCTGTTTGTGGACTCAGGAGAAGAGGAGAGAAAGATGTATATCCACAGAGTCAGGCTCACTGGCCTCAAGCCTGCTGCTACTTATGGTGGGTAGTGATTTAATACTAATGACTCTCTTTGGGCTGGTCAAACTGTCTCAACATATCACATTAAAATCTCTTTATGTTGTTTCAGTGTACCACTGTGGCAGTGATGAGGGCTGGAGTGACATATTCTCCTTCACTGCTCTCAATGACAGCAGCCGTTTCAGTCCCAGGTTCGCTCTGTACGGTGACCTGGGCAACGAGAACCCTCAGTCTCTGGCTCGACTACAGAAGGAGACTCAGCTCGGCATGTATGACGTCATTCTGCACATAGGTAAGCTCCATAGTGATAAATGCACTGCAGCATTTTACACTGTAAAAGCTGTTTAAGAGTCATTATCAGCCCAAGACATTAAGTACTCACACATATGCGTTAAAACTTCTTGCTGGCATGATCTTCATGAACACAATAACATTTACACTCTCCTACTTGGGACTTACAACAGCTGGTATTTATGTGAACATGCCATGCCAGCTGTTAATTGTAATGCCAAAGGGAAATACAAGGAAATAAATTCAACAACCAAATGAACACACACCGGGTTCACCAGCGGCCTCTGCCTCCTCTTTACAGGCTCATTTTGTTGTCATTTAGTTTGTTGACTCATATTTACATTCAGGTGGCGCCTGCACTTGAGTATTCGTTTGAACATGATTTGATTTGAACATGATTCGAAAGAGTTGAGTGGAACCACAATGCAGTTTAGCAAAACATCATGTCACACTGCACGCGTCATCAGATTGTATGAACAAAAGTCTAATCAAGTAAACTAGCTGATATCCAACAGACAAATCTATTGAAGATGTAATTTATCAAGGTAGAATTTTAAGAATCCCTATTCTACTTTTGTAATTCTTGCTTTAGAACAATATGTGTTGGATGACGCACATGCCACTTGTTTTCTTTATGATGTTATTAAGAGTCTAAGGCGAAGGATTATTTTGACCTTCTGGGGAAAAAAGCTTAATCCCTTTCTTGCTGAGTATTAGATGAGAAGATGGATGCCACAGTCATGTCTGTGTACAAAATCTGAAGCTAGGAGCCAGCAGATAATTTGCTTAGCTTAGTAGCTTGGAAACTGTTAGGAAAAAAATCTGCCAACTAGCACCTCTAATGCTCAGTAATTAATTAGTTCTAACAGCATAGGCAGAGCCAGACTAGCTGTTTCCAGTCTTAATGCTATGCTAATCTAACCGTCTGCTCCATGTTAACCATAAAAAAGCTTCTCATCTTACTCTGTAAAAAAAACATTTCAGCATATTTCTCAAAATGTTCCTTTAACTCTGAGTATTTAAAAAAAAACTGAAACTAATTGGGGCAGATCACTGAAGATATATAGTGTTGTTAAACTATAAAGTGGTGGTTAAGAGTAAAAAGGAAAAACACTTAAAAACAAACATATTCTAATGTATTTTTCTTTGCTTCTTTTACAGGGGACTTTGCCTATGATATGCATGAGGTATTTTGCCCTCCTATTCTTGTAATATCATAAACTGTGATGAAACCTGAGCTCAGTTAAAATCTCTGACAGCAAATTTCTTTCATCAATATCTTATATTCGTAAAGCTGCTCTTTCGTTCCACTAATTCCACAGTGACAGATGAGATAACTGCTTTACCTTTCCCCGCCGCCCCCTTCCCAAGACTCACCGCTGTTTATTATCAGTGCACATAAAGGCACTCAGCTGTGGTGGAGACACACAGCTTATGATTAGCACTAATGTGAAAAGCCTTAAGCCTGCGGTGAAAGATGAGAGGTCGGCTAATGTCGCCCAAGTATTTCATGAATAAAGAAAACGTGCCATTCAAAACACCCTGAACTTTGGCCCCAAATCACATATTCGCTCATCTGGAAACCTCCCAGCTGTCATCTGTGATATTTAGCAGACATAACCTAGTTTTGGATGATGATATTATTTTTTAATGAAATGAGTTCCTGCATTATTAATGCCTTTATTTTAATATGGAGGGAATGCTAAATGCAATCAGCAGACTCCTGCAAAAGTTGATTGTGTTTTCAGCTTGAATGTGCGAGTACATCCTGAGCTTTCACTGAAAAACAGAGAGAGGGAACTTTGTCTGAAAGGTCATTAATGG